CAATTTACAACTTTTAACTTTTATCAATTCCAATTTTCTTATGCATCAGTTTTTGTGTAGTGGGATTCCCTAAACTTGTAGTGAATGAAATTGGTTTATTAGGGGAGGCATCCTTACTGTGCAGAACAACACTGATTTATTTAAGTAAACACAATCATCATCATAAAAGGATTCACTGAACTCTGGGTTGGACAGTCATTGTGCAAACTGATCTGGCAGATGTACAGAGATTGCATTCCAGATTACATATTGAGGCACTGATTATCCAAATGAAACTCCAGGGGCACCTTAGGTAGATGCAGTACAATGAATTAAGGAAGGAAACAATTAGTCACAATTGCAGAAACCAGCTCACTACAAAACGAAAGACTGCATCCAACCAGCAGCCCATTTCCTGCAGCACACAGGGAGTCTCAGTGACAGGTTAAGAAAAGACAAACATGACTACTTCTGTAAACAAATAAGGGACGGATCTTCATTTTAAATTACAAAAATGACTTTATTTAATTTCTTTTCTTATGCACTACATAGCCAAATGACATTAGGACTTTTGAACATGAATTTACATTAAGACAACTTTCAAGCATTGACAGTCTTCGAGTTTGCCAGTATTTGACACAATCTGAACACGCAATGAGGATGGGACTGATGTGGTGAAAAAAAAAAAGTGTGAAACCGTTCACTAGAGATTAGTAAAGAAGCAAAAGTAAGTCTGTTCTTCCTCTGCTTAGTGGAGAATCCACCCCAGCAGGTAAGCGAAAATACAAAGACAAAGGAAAACTGGGAGAGCGCGTGGGCATGAGGTTCCAACTCCAATCAAATGTCTACCTTGGAGGCAGAATCAGGGATAGGGAAGCAGAGAGGTATTCAGAAAAAGAAAAAAAAAAAGAAAAAAAGATACCACATAAACAAACAAGCATAAAAGCTGTTATTTAATATGACCAAGAAATTAAGTTGCCCAAAGTTACACATCCTTTTCCAAGGTCTTCCTGACAAAAATGAAATTCCTTGAGTGGGGAGGGAGGGCAAGAGATGGCACAGCCACTTGCTTCTCCAAATAAATGTAATTTGTGGATATCTATTTTGGAAGGCAAGGGAACTCTGGTGGCTTACTGTGTAAGGAGTTGCACTGCCAACCCAAAGGTAAGTGGATCTAATCCACCACTGGCGTGGCAGAAGAAAGGTGTGATTTCCTGCCTCTGAAACCCCACTGGAGGGCCAGTGATGAGTTGATTCTGACTCAATGGCAATGAGCTTGACTTTCTGGCTTTGGGAGGCTGACATCAAATTGGATCAGAAGTATGTCACTGAGGTCTAAGTTCGAAAAGTTAGGTCTGGCTGAGATTTCCCAAATTTTCCTAAAATGTTTCTGAGTAGACAAGATGGGAAAATCCTATAGTCCCTTGAGGCAGTCTGCTTTCCAACAACCGTCCTGTTCTGAAAATTATTTTGGAAGATAAGTATGGAACTCTACTCTGAATTACTGAAATCCTGCCCCAAATGTGAACTGTTTGAATGGCACCATCTCCTTCAGGATTATAGGAGAATCTTAGCTCACTATGGATGTAAATTTTAAAAACAAATTTTGTAGTTAACTTTATCTTACTTGTTCTAAGACTGTGGGACTACTTACTAGTATTGATCAGTACTCCTAATGGTTACCATGATGATATATTGTGACTACTCATCATTTAGAGAAATCTATTATTACTGTTTGTCATGAACTTAGTGTGAAATTCGCTTAGAGAGTGAAAGAAACTTTAAATTTTTATGCCTCTCTATTAGCAATAATAAGATAGCATGCAGAAAGAATTTAAGACTTCCCTCATCCCCAAGTAACCCAGAGAAGATTTCAGGTTATTTAATTTCCATAAAGTGAGCTCAAGAGCCAGGCAAGGAGGCATCTTTAAAAGGAGAAGATCCTAACAGCAGTGGTGTTTCCAAGCCTTTCTGTGAAAGCAGTGCCTGCTGCATGGATACCATGTAAATTTTTGAAACTCACTGAAATAGCTACATGGGAAATGCAATGACAGTGAAAACAGTAGGTGAACAGAAAAACAATTTTGTAACTGCAAGTATCAGATATGACTATGTCACAAACTTCACACTGATGGTGCCTGATTAAAACAAAACTAAGCCTGAAATACAGAACAGGACACTATACTAATTTTCTGAGCTGTGACCTTCTCAGATGGGTTCCACTAGGATATACTTATACACTCTGTTTCTACCAGACCATCACCAGACAATTGCTTGTTCCACAGGTAACCATTAAAACTGACCAAAAAGATTATCCATATGGACTGCAAACAGCCATGGAAGTTATGAATAAAATATGGTGCTTTTATATTTACATAAGCAGTTTCTCGTGGATCCTATAAAGGCTGACATAGACAGCTGTTCCATTTTAGCAAGAGCACTTGTAAAATATAGAAAGTGATTAGGTAAATACCCTCTATACACTGAGCTTTTAAGTTAAAGTATGTTAGAAAAGTGAGCAGTTCATTTACCTGAGTTTCTTGTTTAAAGGCTAAGTAGTAATTGAATGCTTCTTACGTAAAAGTGTGAACAAAAAGCGACACAGTTAAAAAAGGGCCAAAGTCAGGAAATTTAGACTCAGAATTAAATTTGAGATTTGAGGATTTTTATAAAATCTAATAGAAACATTTATGAAGCTTCTGTTTTAGTTAACATGAAGTCAGAAAATTATCCTGATCTGGATGGTATTTAAAATTTAAGTTATGGGTCAGTCTGTAAAATCATTAAAAAAATTAAGTTAAATTCTTTTAGAATTAGCTACACGTGATAAAAGCCAGTAAATTAGTAACTTTAGTTATAAGTCCCTATGAGATTATCAGTTAATCACCAGATAAAGATTTCAGCATAAGTAAGATGTTTAACCTGAATTGATTTCCTCTGGAGGATGACATAGAAAATAACTATAAATTTTATCCAGAAAAAGAGTGCACCCAGTATACTACCAGCAGCTGTCTCAGCTTACTTGTCAACAGGGTATTTTTGCCATGCTCAGCCATGGACAATCTGCCAAGATTTTTGTGTTTGTTTAAAACAGACAGGGTTATGCTTCTAAATACAACACATTGTTCATAATCAGGACCCCAACTATAATATTCTGGAAACGAACATTTTATCATACAAGAAATTGGGCCATCTTACTATTTCAAATATACTTAGTTAATTTTTAGGAATAAATAGATCAGCTAAGAGAAATGACCATTCTTACATTTTAAATTTACAGAATTGTGAAACACTTTGGTCTACAAGACTGAATTATCAAACAACCAAATGGCTTCTCTTTCCCTAATCCTTCTCTCCATGTTGTATCATGAAATTTAAAATACGACGGAGGTGCATCTGCTGAGTTGCCCCTACATTTGCATTCTGTGTATCAAAGTGGCACTGAGCAAAGAACTTAACCAGGATCACAGAGCAATTATTGAAAACAGCAAATTTGTTAACTCCCAGATTCTCTTATTTTCATTTATGAAGTCACAAAAAGTTTCTTAGATCAGATAAGCCCTCTGAAAAAGGTCAAGTGGATTCCATACCTAACACAAAGTCCCTACGATCAGTAGTACTGGTCTTGGATTGAGGTCACATATGTGTATTTCACTTTATTGTTCAATAGAGCTTAACAGTCAGTGAAAAATTTCCCCAAGACCCACATTATGTACGATTTGAAACATTCTGCTATCAGGCTGAAGTTACCGCTAAGTGACAGCCACATAGCAATGTATTCACTGTCTTAAAAAAAAAACCCCAAAACAAAAACAAAAACGACCCAACAAAATGTAACAACCAAAACCATGTTAGAGACATGTCAGAACCATGTTAGAGCATTCTAGACCTTGTATCATTAGCATTCTTGGAATGGCCAGGTTTCAGAAAAATCATTAATATATCTAAGTAGATTACTTTGAGCAACAGGCAGAATTTGAATAGATGATCTCTGCCACAGTGATCTGAGGGAAGGCGAGCGAGCCCGAGTGGAGTGCATCATCTCTTAAAGCTTTACTAGTGAATTTTTCCCAACCTATGGACTCACATATCAAGATGATTAAATTAATCAAAGAACAGGCTCCTAATTCTATAAATTTTAAATTTAATTATTTAATAGAATATGAAAAGAAATCTAGTATCTCTAAGGTTACTCACTAATACTATGTAACAATATCGAGATAAAGGAGGGAGGGAAACCTCTGTGTATGGTTTTAAATATTTTAAAAATTCTGGTAAAATGCAAATCAGTTAAATGATAGATGTTCAATTTCAGCATGCCCATCATTGAAGAGTATTATCACAAGCTCTTCACCTAAGGATAAGTGTAATTATGAGATAATATAATTTAGGGTTCTGTTGCAGGTAGGGGGGAAAATTAAAAGCAATATTCCATGACAATGCACTTATGTGAATTTACAATCCACAAATGTTTTCTGTGCAGAATGAAGGACTTGGCCAATGGAGAAGGCAGCTGGTATTAAAATAATTAGCACAGATTCCTTGGTATACAACATACAATGAAAACAAAAAATTAAAGAGTCTGTATAGGTAGGTGTAAATGAGTGAACAATGACCTTGGCAAAATATCTTCATTTTTTTAAAAACACCAATAACATGCAACTGAAAATTCCCTCCATTTCACAATAATAAACTGGAAAAAACCCACCAAAACAACCAAAAAACCAAACAAAAACCATAACAATATAAAATATCAGATGGAACCATCTGTTTCTGCCAGTAGAAAACAACAGATAAATTAGGTTCCAGGACAAATAAAACTTTAAAGTTTTAAAACTGAAAAAAAGACAAGAAAATTTTTATTAAAAATATACACACTCCTTATGCAATCTCATGTACATTTTGCTTTGTGTTAAAAAGGGAAAAAACCAAAACCAAAACAAAACCCCAATGAAAACAAAACTAAACCAAAAACAAAATAGGAAAGGCATTAAGACTACCTACTTATTTATACTGTATTTGGTAGTAGCATGTTTCAGTCAAACTTTAAAGAAAAAATAAGTTATTCAGTTTTCATTTGCTCCCGGATATCAGAAGGCAGAGTTTCAAATAAAGCATCTTCAACAACTAAACCAGCTCGCTTCAGAGAGCGACAGTCACCCAGTTCAGGGGGGAGGATTTCAAAGTGATTGCCTTTAACGTCTAAGTAGGAGAGGAAAACTAAGTTTCCAATTTTTGGCGAAAGTACGGATAGGCTGTTTTTCCCAATCTTAAGAGTTTTCAGTTTCTTGCAGAAATAAAGTTCATCTGGGAGGCTCTCCACTTTGTTACAAGTGATGGAAAAATACTGTAAACTCTGTAGAACTCCTATTTCGGGTGGGATAAATCGAATGTCATTGTAGGATAAATCCAAGTATCGGATTTTGTTGCATAAGAAGAGGTGTGAAGGCAGCACCTCTATTTTGTTGTGACTGAAAGACAGACGCTCTAGGCTGGTGAGTTTCTTTATGTGTTCTGGGATATAGGTGATGCTGTTATGCCACAGTTTTAGCACTGTCAATTTCCGTAGATGCTGAAAGCTAACAATTTCTTCTATGGACTTCAGATTATTTTCTTTCAGGTCCAGTTCCTGAAGGCTAAGCAGGCTGAAGACAGCATGGGGAATTCGCTCCAGGTCACAGTGGACCAGTTCAAGCTCTGTCAGATTGACCATCTTCTTCAAGTTGTTGAGCATCACCAGCTTCGTGCCATCGTTATGTATGCACATCTTCTGGAGATGGCTGGAAACATCGACCACCGCCTGAGGAATTTTGGACACATTGCTTTTGATGGAGAGAATTTTAAGGCTTTTGAGATCCCGCAGGGACTCAAGGGTAACATTTCTGGAAATATCGTGACTCAGGGAGCCCACTAGGTAGAGCTCTTCCAGATTCCGGAGTCCGTACATCCAGGGCGGCAGCTCCCTCATGTCGTCAAACTTGACACTCAAGACCTTGAGGTTCTCCTTCAGGAAAGACAGGGCTGCACTGTGGATTTTGACAGAGCACTGGTGCAAGGAGAGCTCCTGCAGATTGTCGAGCTGTGCAATCGTGGCTGGGATCATTACATTCTTAATGATTTCAAGTTTTAGAGACTGGAGCTCTGTGATTTCAAAAACAGTGTCTGGAAGGCCAGAGAGCATGATAAGAGGCAATTCCAGTCGGTTATGAGCATTTGTCTGCAGCTTTTGCCTCAGTTTATCAGCAGTCCACTCATTATTTAAATTCAACTGCTTTAATTTGTTTTCACTGACTTCAGATAGGAACACTGCAAATCTCTTGGAGTAGAGAGGGTCATACTGATCTATCATATGAAGCATAAAAGCAAAGTCATTTTTCACGTCTGGAATGTCATCAATTCCAGTCTCTTGCCGGACATATTCAAAAGAATACTCCCTTAGAGAACGGTAGAACAGCCAGTATAAGGTATAAAGGCACGTCAATCCATATATAGATACAAAGCACAGGTAGCAAAAGGAAAGTTTTGAGAACAAGTGTGCCATGGTATGGTTGCAAGAAAAGTTCCTGTATCCAGTCATGTCTTGGATGTCAACGTTACAGTCCACTGTAAACTGAACTTTGGAAACCAGAGCGCTGTTATATGCAATGATGATCAGGAATTTGATAACCTTGAGTACAGTCTGGCGAACATACATGGCATACAGGATATCACCCTCTTCCACGTGCAGCCTGAACTTCTTCACCTTCTCAAATAAGGCCTTGGCTTGCTCACCTTCCTTTTTATCCAGGGCCCCTGCCGTGGACTTGTCAACCACAAACTTCTCAGGGATTGACTTTAAAGACTGAGAGTTGACTAAGCTGCCTTCTGGGCCAGACTGGATGGTGTTGGATCTGTTCATGTTGTTCTTTCTGTTGTCCTTTTCTTCTGAGTCTTCCCCTGACACTTCAGACAAAGCCCGTGTGGTCCAGGGAGAGTCAAAACACTTGCCCAGGATTGAGATAAAATGTTCTATTTTAGAGCTGGATCCAGGAAATTTAAACCAAAAGTTACTGCAGAGCATGAAGACCAGGGTGTGGATGAGGACGAGGTAAGGGAAATACTTGGCATACCAGTGGAGGGCTCGCTCATAACACATCTGGTTTATAAAACTGTACTGCTGAAGGTCTAGATCGGTCTTCAACCCTTTCATTTCCACAGTGGCAGGGTTAGCAGCAGATGGCTTGGGTGGAGGCAATGGGGTGGTACTGGGAAGTGCATGGGAGACATTTGAAATGGAAGAATGGTTCTGTGATGGCTGCACTCTTTTCGGAAGGCAGATGATCTTATCCTGCATGACCTGAAATATAGAAATATTTCAAATTATATTACTCAAAGAGCTTTCATAATTACATTAGCACCAAGACAACAGCAATAACATCCAATAAATGTCCATTTCCTCTGCCTGGAAAATACAACTTTCAATTCAAGGACCAACATCTTATTCTTAGCCCACTATGCTAGAAAAATATCTAAGTCGGTACAGGACACGGCACACAGAAGATTTGTATTGGGACACAGAACAAACCACAGCAAAATAAATATTTAGGGAACACTCATGAATTTCTCATGAGAGTCTGAAAGAGTCATTGGTCTGGGAAGTATGTCCTTTTATCAGACTTCTTTTTTAAATTGGAAGCCCTCCAAGATTGTGTCATTAGTTTGCATATGAGGAATAAAAGTGTTAGAAGGAGGAAGTAATGGAGAAACTCTCATCTCCATAATCTCCTCTTTTCTTTCTACACATTTCCTGGATTATATGCATTAACAGTTATGGCCTTTATATAAAATGAATTTTATTAACCTTTTATAAAAAATCATTTCTTCAGAGGAGGAGAAAGAGAAAGAACACAGAACTGTTAAAAAAGAAAATAAGTCTAAATTTGCTATTTTTCCACTCAGCATAGTCATTCCATGAAGAGCTCCATCAAAGTTTCACTTAATTGGAAATAAGCTCTAAGAATGCCCAACAGTCTCATAAGGTATTTATTTAAGGAAAAAAAAAAAAGATGGGGAGATTATACCTTAAGCCAATCTGGAGGAATTATAATCCTTTCTGCCCCAAATTTATGAAAGTCAAACTATTTAAACAATAATCAAACAGCACAGACCAGTAATAATAACCAAGGAGTTGAGAGCAATGATGTATTGAGTTAACACTGGTATCTTAAAATGTAAACTGGCTAGCAACCCAGAGTATCTAGTGATTCTTGAACAGTGATGATACAAGCCTCTTTCTACACAGAAACAGAAACTGAGCCCATTGAAAAGTGGATTGCTATCGCAAGGGGATGTGCTCACAAACTGCTGACAATGGAGAGAGACAACCAAACAGAATAGAGAGCTGACAATGCAGAGGAGCATCCAACACTCAGCAAAGTGTCCAGTGGAGAGTTGGACAGCCAATCCAAAGTAGTTTGGATCCCCCAACTGCTCCAAGGAAGAAAGATGGGCAATCTTCTCCTGTGCAGTTTATAGACCCTAAAAACCCACTGGAGGGTCAATTAAGTTGGTTCTGACTTGATGGCAAGGAAAGCAAGCACATATTTGATGAGGAGATAAATGAATCCAGAGCTAAGACTACTCCTAGTTTCAATATACACACATATCACAGTACAGTGATACTTCTCCCAGGGATGTAAATAAGCATAGTGATTACAGTAATGGCAGAAGCAAACTTTCATTATATATTTCCAGCCCTTTAAGAGTTTTTTAGATATGAAGTCTTTCAATTGCTACATTAACCTTATGCAGCAGGTATTCTGCATATTTTCATTTTAAAGATGAGAAAACCAAGCATAGCAAAGTTAAATAACTTGCTTAATAGACCTAAGCCACCAGACCTATACCCCACAATTCTTAGTTTATTTCTAGGCTAAAACCATAAGGACCCTAATTTGAAAAGACTATGTTTCCCTAGAAGATTCATAAAGTTCTGTCTTCAAAGATAAAGGAGGAAAGAAATACTTTCTGAAAATAAGAGCAAGTTGGGAACAAATGAGTTTGCATTCAGAAGGTTTTGTAGCTATAGGGGTGTGAGAACTAAGTCTTCAAATTGTTTTATCACTTGTGTACAATATACATTAAAGAAGCAGAGTATTCCCATCAATTTATATATCTTTTTTTATATATATGCTTATTGATATATTATCTGTATTATATATATGTGTGTGTATGTATGTGTGTGTGTGTGTGTGTGTGTGTATATATATATATATAAAACATATTACATTAAAATTGTTGAGTCCCTGGGTGGTACAAACTGTTAATAGTTGCTAATCAGAAAATTCAAGGTTTGAGTTCATCTAGAGGAGCTTCAGAAAGGAGACCTTGCACTTTAGTTCCAAAATAGCAGCTGTTGAAACCCTACAGAATATAGTTCTGTTCTGAAACACAGGTAGTCACTACTAGTGAGAATGGACTTGATAGCAACTGATTTATTTATTACTGTATATTGAGGGTACCATGGACTTCTAAGAAAACAGACTGATCCTGGAAGTGTTAAACCAGGCAGCTCCTTGCAGGCAAGGATTCTGAGGCTTCGTCTGACATACTTTGGTCATGTTTTAAGGAGAGCCTGGTCCTTGGAGAAGGAGGGTGGAGGCAAGGCACAGGAGGGGAAGGCCCTCTATGAGGTGGATTGATTCAGTGACTGGGATAATTGGGATGGGAGTGTCAGAGACAGTGCGATTGGCACAAGGCAGAGCAGAGTTTAGGGCTGTTGTACATAGGATTGTTATGAGACACAAGCGACTCGACGGCACATAACAACAATAACAATCCATAAAGTAATGAAATCTCTTGTAACGTAGTGGTTAAGGAACTGCACTTGCCAACTCAAAGGCAGGCAGTTTGAATCCATCAGTTGTTCTGCAGAAGAAAGATGGGCAATCTCTTCCTGTTTGGTTTACAGCCTCTTAAAAACTACTGAGGATCAGCTATGAGTCAGTTCCAACTTAAAGTCACATGATAGGAACAAAAGCATCCACAAAGTAAATATGTCCACATGTCAAATATTGGTAAGACTTATTTTCCCCCCCCTGCCTTTAAGTTTAAAGTAAACATAAACAAAAGATCCTTTTGTTTTTCTTATACCTCACTGGAGCATCTTCCATATTTCTTGGAGGGTCCAGCACCTGACTTTAGAAATGACTGGAGTAGAGAAAGTAGTAAAGGCTAGACAAATGCAAAATTATCCTAAAGGGACATAAAAAGAGAGCAGCTAAGAAATTCTGTGTCTGAGATCCTGTTGCAGGTGATTCCTCATTTGTGGCCTCATTTTCCAAAAATCTGTGAAGTCAAAGGTGGAGGCAGGAAACCCACAGGGAAAAGGCATGTTTCCCAGAGCACTTCCTCTAAGAGTGACACCTCTGAGCTAATATGTTAACATGACATTGTTAATAGTGTGATGAGAATACAAAGAAGTGTGTGAAACCAAGTTCCCTTAAGAAGTAAAAGAGCAGACACCTTCTTAAGGTGCTAAATCCCTGCTAAGCAGTCAGGTGGGCTGCTATCCGTCTGCCCAACCTCTCCCCAAGGCTTGCTCTGATGGAAGATGGTGGACTTCTGGGACTTCATTGCTTTATGGGAATTAGGTTATACAATGCACCAGGATGCCCAGATGAGGGGCAAGCAGAGGCTGAACTCTTTGCTCAATTGTGTGCCCCTGTGTCTGTGTCAACACGGTGGGGTTTTTAAAATATTTTCAGAAAGGACAGTACTGGCCAGCATCAGTGCTATAGAGGTAAGAGGTATTCTCCTCATTCTACAAAAGAAGAGACTGATCTAGGTTCAGAGAACTTGAGCCACGTTCACATAGCTGGGAAATGGCAGGGCAAGTATTTCAATGTGTCTTCTGTTTTCCTAGTGTCATTTACTACTCTACCATGTCTTCTCATTTTACAAAGGTTTGGGTAGATGTAGACTAGACCAATCTATGAGAGTAATACATAGTTGATTATCTGAAATGTCTTTTGGTTTTCTCATTTTCTCTTTCAGATTCAGTGAAGTAACAACTTTTGAAATGTACCTACTTAAATCTCAGAGGGATAAAGGCTATTATCTTTTCCAAAAACTGTTGACTAATCAGAAATGATAACTGAGTATAAACAATATTGGAATTTAATAACTCAGAACAATAATTCATGGTGCTGAAGAATAATAAGATTCCAGCAGTGAGGCAGCTAAGAGTAGGGTTCTAAAAGAATGTGAAGGAAGGTGTCTAGTTCAGGATTATGTAAAAGAACACGGCAACTAAGAGAGTGGGTAGAAAGGAGCCCAACAGTAAACAGTATGAAGAGTTAAACAGCAAAACAACTACAGAGGGAGTAAATTATCCCACATATTTAAGTTTAATAGAAACCTTATTTATTTATTTTAGAAACCTTACTTCTTAATGACAACATTAAGATGAACTGGGAAAAGTACCACTGTTTTCAAAAGAATATTCTCAAAGGGAAAGAACTTTGACAGCTTCCTTAAAACAAAAAACAAAAACGCCTTATCCATGTAAATAATAGCAGCTTGTTAGAACATAAGAATGGTTCAATATTTTCTTAGAATTTGCCTAATTAAAGCTGTATCTACCTCTCTTTACATTTATCTAGGAATTTAATTAGGGGACTCTGCAGGCCTAGAATGTAAGGAGTTTCACTACCAATGCAAAGGCAGGTGGTTTGAATATGCCAGTTGAACCTTAGAGAGAAAGGTGGGAAATCTCTCATGCAATTTACAGCCTTTGAAAACTTGCTGGATAGTCAGTCAGCTGTGAGTGGGTTCCAACTTGATGGTAAAGAGACTTGAGTTTGTAGAATAAAGTCTGTAAAGCCTGCAAACAAATTTTAAAAGGCTAACTACTAGATTCTAGGCTGCTGGTACTGGGCTGAGAAAATGTGTTTTAGGTAGATAGAGAGAGAAAAACTTCCCTATCCCTCTTCCAGGGAGCTCTGGTGGCCTATGGGTAAGAAGCTGCGCTGCAATCCCAAAGGCATGCAGTTCAAATCCACCAGCTGACTCATGGAAGAAGGATGTGCAATCTCCTCCCACGTTACTTACCGCCTCTGAAAACCTGCTGGAGGGTCAGCTATGGGTCGGTTCCATCTCAATGGCACACAACAACAACAACCCTGAGTTTCAGACCACCAGATCATAACATAAATGGCAGAAGTGCGAAGAGCATTTCCTTTCAGAGGCAACCCTCACATGATCTTTGGAAGATAAAGATTTGAAAGTACAGCTACATAGTATGCCTGTGGTATGATGGAGAAACTGGAGGGAGGAAAAAGAGGGTAAGGGAGAAAA